GCCTGACAGAACCAAGTCCCGTGTAGGAGCCTGGAAACTGTCTGTGAGGCCAGTTCTGGCTCCAGGGGGTGGAAGGAGAGCAAACAGCAGGGAGGCAGAGCCAGGTCACCAGGTCACCAAGGGCCTCTGCCCATGCCAAGACACTTGACCCAGAGCAAGCAGGGTGTCCCCAGCGGCTCTCTGTCCCTCTTTCCTGAGTAGGTCAGCACATTAGTAAGGAGATGATGTTAATGAGAACCAGGTTATGGGTCTGATCCCTGCAAGGGCTGGTTAGCTTCAGACAGAGAAAAGCCACCTTTTAGGGCGGCTGTGCTGATTGAGTCCTACCAGCAGGCTCCCAAATGCCTGTCAGCCACAGGTAATCCTCAGGTCATCATCATTCCTCCCTCTCAAAGTGCCCTTCCTTCCCAGGGGAAAGTTCAGCCCTGGAAGCTTCTACTAGACCACAGAGGTCTTAAATCAGATCATTCAGATGAAGGAAGGACCCCTTTAAAGTTTTACTTGGGAAGAACGGGCTCCTAAATTTATCTGAAGACACCTGGGGAAACTGTCCTTTACAATTAACACTTTTTTCTCTTACCTGAGATTTTTTAAATTACATGTAATTTTAAAATAAAGAAAAATATTACCCATAAACCTGCTGCCCAAACCAATTATTTTTATTTTTCTTATGTTCTAATTCTTATGCATTTGCATTCTAGGCATTTAAAAAAAAAACAATAATTCTCCTTGGAAAAGTGAGCTAATGTTTTGCATTTGGAAACCACTGTAAACTGCTGGAGTGGACCCCTGAGACGCTGCACACTAGCCTAGCTGGCAATCTGTAACCCACCAGTGGGACCTTTCCCCTGCCTCTTCCTTCTCCAAGCCACAGACAAAGGGTTATATCAGGAAACAGAGGGGATCTTAAATTCAGCTGACTCCACCACTTTGCACGTTATTCCCTTAGTCCCTGAGAACAACGCAAACAAGTCCTTTCCTCTGAAGCCTGTCACTGGGAATTGGAGCTCTATTTGAAACCCCCTGTGATCTCAAAGTGCAGTCTTTCTGTGAGAACTTACACTGCACCTCTTTTCCAGCCACCCTGTCTTTGTCAAAGGCAGTCTTCCTGACTTTCTCCTGGGAGGCTGAGTCCTCAGCTGTGGCAGCCCCACATCCCACCAGGAGCAGGCAGGGGCAGTGACAGCAGCCGCAGTGCTCAGCTGAGAGAAGAGCAGCACAGGGACTGACTGCCTGAGCACATGTCCATCATCCCTGAGTCCCTAGCCATGAAACGACCTTGCTTTCCCTATTTTCATCCTAGAGCTTTTCTGAAGCCTTCACTGTGTTCCAGGAAGCCCCTGTGTTTTCTGCCAAAGCCTTAGCGTTTATTTTCCATATCTTCTGCCATCTATTTGGCTGCAACTCCTACAGAAAAACGTCAGGAGCCTAACACCCCAGCCGCCTCCTCCATCAGAAGCAACCAGCTCCTTTCTTCAGATTCGTCCCCCCGGAAGGTAGATGCTCCCAAACTAAAAAAACACAGGAGGAGGAGGCTGTTTTACATTGGGTGACACCAGAAAGCAGTGCAGACATTTGCCAGAGCGTGACCGCCTGTGGGGTGCAGGTGCACACATCACCGTGGGCAGCTGCCCTTCCAAGCAGCACATACTTGATTTGAGATCATTGATTAGTACCTGAGCTGCACTGATGCAGAGTGAGAATCCTTTACTCAGACATCAAACAGTGAATGGTCAACAAAGATCCATTTGTTTTTAAACTTTATGCAGGCTTAAAACCTTAAATGTGACCTGGGCCCTAGGACAAAAGAAACTGTGTGCTCAGAATTTAAAACTAAGATATCTACTCTCCTGGAGCTAAACAAAAGCGGTCCCTTAAGTCACCAATGCTAAATATAGAAGTGTTTTTATTTATTTTTAAGATAGTCTCACTTTGTCGCCCTTGGTGGAGTGCCATGGCATCGCAGCTCCAGCAACCTCAAACTCTCAGGCTCGAGTGATCCTCTTGCCTCAGCCTCCCAAGTAGCTGGGATTACAGGTGCTGCCCACAATGCCCAGCTATTTTTAGAGATGGGGTCTCGCTCAGGCTGGTCTTGAACTTCTGAGCTCAGGCAATCCACCTGCCTCTGCCTCCCAGAGTGCTAGGATTACAGGCCTGACCACTGCGCCCAGCCTATTGAAGTGTTTTTAAAAACCTATCTTTTCTGTGGAACCTAATAAGTTTATTTTTAAGAACTGAAAGACAGTACAAACTGTGCAAAAAAGAAAAAAAGAAAAAAAAAGGAAAGAACCCCAGCCATTTTTGCAGAGTGAAAACGCACTCTACAAAGGGTGACAAAGTGAGACTGTCTTAAAAATAAAGTCACAACCCAGCAGAGCCTTGAGATCCCACATCCCACTTCTGGCCTCTATCCGAGGAGCCCTTGGCCCACTGGACAGGAACCACTTGTTACAGCAGGGACTGTGGGATGCAGGAGTCAGGCAGACACTGGCATCTTTATGCATAATGTACAAAGAACTCCAAGACCCACCCCTGCCTACATAATAGAAAAATATTCTGCTGCTACTGGCTGGAGCTTTTACTCATGAAGTTATTAGAATGAGCCTCACAGAGCTCTCAACTACCCTGCCGCAGAAGGGCTGTCATTTCCAAAGTTTGCTTATTTTTAGTGCCGTTTACCCACTATACAGCCTATGGAATGTTTCCTCTCCTAGAGCCCTAGAACTTTCTGCAGGCGGTAGCTTCCATGCCTGGGTCCCCGGGGCAGGGATGACTCTGAATGGCCGCCCTGCTCACTCCAGTCCCCTGGGTAGAATTTCTTCACAAATCAGGTAATTTGATGCCTGAGCTGTTTACAAAGCATTAGCAAACAGCACTCACTCTCCTCTTTCCATCTCATTCCCCTCCATGACCCTGATGAAAAATAGTTACAGAACTAGGAAACAATGTAAGGGAGGTGAACAAATGACTTTCTGCTAATTTCCAGGGTAAGAAAAGTCAAAAACACAAAAATTATTGGCAAGAAAGACTGAAGCCCACAGCTATAGATCTGATAGTTTCTGTAACTTCTGTTAGTAAACTAAGCGCACAACTCTGATGCTTTGAGTTATTTTTGTTTTTGAACTAAAGATTCTCATCAAAGATCTATTTAATTAGGAGATAGAGTTTAATATCTGTTTGATTTTAGTAATTTTTTTTTTCAGGGACAGAAAATGAAAATCGATTTGGGGAGATAAGTTATGCAAAAAGGGATAACTTTTAAAACACAGATTCTTCTAGTAGAGCCAAGCGGGAAATTCCTTAAAGTTCTTGTGGATTGAAATGAATAATAAAAATCTTGTGCTTTGAGAGAAAGAAGAGGCGTCAGTGCTATTAAAAAGCAACTTTTCAGATTCCTAGAATTTGAATATGTGAAATGTTTACCCAGAGTATGTCCAAAGTGGTACGCCCTCAATGTTTTGGAACATTCCCTTTAAGATGTTCTCTAATCTGAAAAACAAATCTTTTAAAAACTGTAAGATTACATGTTTTTAAGCTATCAAATGACTGACCATAAATGACATTTGAAAACACTTGATATATGATAACTGTTAATTTTTTAGTAAGCTCCTTCCTCACAGTAAAAATAAATAAATAAATAAAAATAGCTGAATTGTCAAAAATACGGCTTTTGCTCCAAAGTCAGAAAAACAAACTATGTAAGAAGGGGTTGTGCTCACAGTATTTCACTCAGCTTCTGGTATCCAAGTGGACAGCCCTATTCCTACCGTCTCAAGGCAGTTTTGAGACTTTGCCCATGAACATCTTTTAACTTTGACGGAGATAATGGTCTCAGAAAGTAAATCATGCAAACAGGATGGCTTTACATATAAACACCTCACACTCAGTGGGGCTTCTAGAAGGAGCAGTAGCCCGGAGAATCAGGGTTATGACCAGTCAACAGTCACACCCCAAAGGCTGAGCAGGGTTATACACTGGAGGCTCCTGGGCCAAGCCTCCAAAATATCTGGGCTGAGGAGAGCCTGAGGCTGAGAGAACCCAGCCTAAATCCCATCAGCTGAGTCCAACGGGGAAGCTTCATCTTAAGTTCAGCCCGACTTCAAAAATCACAAAACCCAGCCCAGATTAAACTTAGAATACCAAACAATACCCTGTCCTTGTTCAAAATACAGGTATAAAAATAAGGAGAATCTCCATGAAGGCATTAAGCGTCTCTCTTCTGAGGAGGGAGGGAACACTGGTGGCAAACAGGTTCACAAACGCTCACCAAAGACTCGGGCCACAAAGCCCAGCGGGAACTGGGAGGCGAACACGGTGAGGAACCAGGGGGCGGCATAGAGGCTGGGGCCGATCTCATGCTCCTCCAGGTGGTTGTAGAGGTCTCTGTGGTAGTCATGGAGCAGGCGAGAGAGCTGGTACATCTGGATCTGAGGGACGACACCATAGGTGGTGAGAAGGAGAGGCCTGCTGCTCCTCTAGAGCTACTCACCCCGCTCACAGGGTGCGTGGCAGACAGAATAATTACGAGAACCTTAAACATTCTATGAAGCTTGTGCTGTCCACTGATCTGTCACTAAATTGTCCACGGAGTGCTTCTGGGGCACTAGTGCGTGCCGGGCAGGGCACTGGCCAGGGGTAGGCCCAGAACACGAACGTGGGGCCTTCTCCTACCACTTCCTTTTCATTGTTCCCTTGGGTTCCTTAGCTAAGAGAATATAAACATCTGTCTTGTGTAAACATTTCATAAATTCTCTTACAAATTCACATTCTTAGCAAAACCCAAGCCCAGGGGAACTAGAAATAAAAAGCCAGCCTCCCTGCTGAGAGAGGAGCAGACCAAGATTCCAGAAAAAGTCCACTGCACAGGTTCACTTAGTAAATTCCCTCTGGCCCCCTGAAATTATTCCAAAGGCAGGACTAGTGTCATTTCTTTAGGTTTATAACAGATGAGGCATATAGCCCCAGGCAAATTAAAACAAGAAGACTAGTATTTGTCTTAAGATAAAGTAAGTTTCTCCAACTAAGGTTGAACTTTAAGGGTTCCTGCTTCAGAGAATGAGGTGGTTTAAACAAGAAGCTCACTCCAGTTGCCAGGGCCCCAGAATGAGGCCCAGGGCTCACAGTAATCCTGGAGCCACCCCAGATTTGAGCAGTCCCCTGGGCCCGAGCTAAAGAAACAACCTAGGGAGGGTCAGAACCCCACGGAGGTATTTCACGTTGGCTATGTCTTGCCCTAACTGGGTAAAAACACAAAACTGTTTTCAGAGGCTCAGACAATGTGATCCCCTTCAGCAACAGCTGTGGCTCTTCTGTATCTAAGAGTCTAATCAACCAAGGCCATCCGCCCAAGAGTCACATGTTATAATAATTATACAAAACTGAAAATTCCGCTACTTGATGACAGGTGTCCCCACATTAAAGATAATGAGGAGAATGTAGAAAGAACCTCGCAGCACATGTGCAAAGTGCAACGTGGGTAAAAATCTTTTGGATAATAAGACAGCTTCCTTTTATGAGATTAACACTGCTGTGGTTCACAGTCACAGGTCGAGGTAAAAGGATTTTGAATCACATAACTTGGTGCTCTCAACAAAATCCTCAGCTCTACCCGGCCTTTCCTGGGATACTCCCTGAGGCTCTGAAAGGACAGCATGTCGCTGGCAAATGACCCGAAGCAGCAGCCAGAGCTCTCCCCACCTCTGAAAGGCGGCGACACCTGGCAGGTGGAACATGCTGCTGGGTGTGGTTGTTTTTGATGGCCTCATTCATTCACAAAACCGACAGGCACCTACTGCATCAGATACTGTTACAGGAACTGGGGACTCAGTCCAACACCAGGAAGATCGCTTCCCTCTCATGAAACTTACATGCTTAGCAACGTCAGAAAATAAACAGGTAAATGAAGTAAACAAAAAAGATAATTTCTGGCAGTGAACATACTGTGCAAAAGAAACGAGACAGGATAATGTGGCAGAGCGTACCCGTGGTACAAGTGGGGGGTCAGGAAGAGCTTCTGCCCGGATGTGATGATTGCGCTGAACCTGGGATAACAGACGCGGGGAGCTCCCTGGCAGAGGAAAGTAGCAGGGGTAGAGGAGAGAGGCTGGGGTTAGACTGCCTGGTAGTTCATAAAGGGCACAACAGAGAAGGCCCTGGAGTCAGGCCTGGGCTTAAAATCCCAGCTCCGCTGCTCCCCAGCTGTGTGATCTGGCCCAATTATATCATCTCCTGGAGTCTCAGTTTTGCCCTCTACAAACTCAGCCTATTCTAGTATCCTTCTATTATACTGCCATGGAGATCACTGCCCAGGAAGCACCCGGAACGATGCCCAGCAAAGAGCACGTTATCAACAATGACAGCTGCTACGATGTCACCTGGTGGTGGACGAGCTCCTCAGACACACCTGGAGAGGGATAACAAACATTCTTAGCATTTGTTTTTATTAAAGACACACTCTGTACCTGTAAAATAATCATGTCCGGCCGATACTGTTTCCGTAGCCCCATGTCAAACATCAGAAACTTGAGCATTTTAAAGGCCTCTTCCTCACTCATGTGAAGCAGCAAAATGCCGGCTACAAAGCTGAGACCCTGGCAGTACCCCACTTCCTGGTCCAGAAGGGAGTAGGCCTTGAGAATGTTGTACAGGGACAACTGCCCTGCTCCGAGCTGGGCAGAGAAGTACGGGTGTGTTGGAAAGGTCCGCCCTGTGCAAGGAAGGTGTATTAGTTGTAATTTTAAAAAAGAAAGAAAAACAAATCCAACATGCCTCTGGCGAAAGCAACATCTCCACAACCAGCATCAGACACCCATCAGCCTTTACCCCCTCCTCCGCTTGGTGAACAAGATGAGCTGCAATAATGCTTGTAGTCAAAAGCAGGAATAATTCATGCATTCTTGGTGGTGGCTCAGGTGAAAGGAATTAGAAGAACCACCTTTGGTTCAGTCTAAAAACAAGGAGAGCTGGCAGTCTTCTAGGCATAACTCCGTTATCAAGAGGCAGGCTGGCCAGCTCACTTCTTCACCACCCCCACCCAGCATCCTCGGAGAGCAGCTCCCAGGCCTCGCCCTGCCACACACAGTCCTGATCAGCTTTCCCAAGGCTGCCATACTGTGCCTGCAAATACTTCCCTCCACATGCATTTCTGCCCTTTGAACCACAGGCAGTGAGGTGAAACAGCCTCGGGAGCAGCCAGTGTTTTCTTTTACACAAAACAGTTACCTTCCAGAGAAAAATTTCATAAAAGAAAAAGGCTTTCAACATCCTGATTGTTTTCACAAAAAGCTGGGGCTTACAGACCTCTTTTGCCCAGGAGGCATTTGTGGCTGATACCTGTCAATTTCCCTCCTTGCCCTGTGGAACGTGACTGATGGGGAAGCAGAAAAGTGACTTGACTAGAGAAGAAATGTCTGGAGCCAAGCCACAGCAGCCGTGCAGCTGGGCCACGCTGGGGGGGACCTGTCTGGATTTGGATTAGCAAAGGCACAAGGGGAGTCTAATCACTCGAACTTGGCAGAGGGAGGATACATTCAGGGCTCTTCCTAGCTTGGGTAGAAAGCATCTCATCAACCCAGATGGGTCATCTGAACTTGATCTAGGACAGTGCTTTTTAAGTGGTGTGCTACAAAAATTTTTAAAGATCATTAATTAAATTATTTTTGAAGGAAGTTTAAAACACACTAAGTATATTCTCTTTTTTTTTACTTTTTTTTTTTTGATCAACATAACTTAAGTGTACCCTGGAAGTTTAACGACAGATTCGTTTCAAAGTGTGCTGTGAGATAAAAACAGTTGAAAAACACTGCTCTAGGAGGATGGCCCAGCTCCTACTGCCTAGATTTCCTATCCTATATTCCACTCTTGCCTCCTCTTCCTCTAACAAATCACCTTCAAACATACCCCACACTGCCAGGAAGCAATCAATAGCTCCCCAGTGCTCAAAGAACAAATTCTCCACTCTACTGGCCTGAAGCTCCACACACCTCCCCAGCAGCCCTCCCAGCCTGATCCTCTCCTGCAGGGTCTCCGTGCACAGTGTGCAGAGCTGAGTGTGAGTGAGTGGAGGAGGGATTTACGAGGAGGTGTGGTCATGCTGATGCACGTCCCTAATCTGGGGCAGCCTGTGCACCTGAACTGTACTGCAAACTGCACACGAACTTTAGTATCTTCTAGTGGCCACATTAAAAAGTAGAAGGTGAAATTAATTTTGGTAAGCTATTTTGTGTAGCCCAACATAGATAAAATATTATCACTTCACTATGCAATCAATATTTTAAAAAATTAAGCCATTTTGCTTCTTCTTTTCATCCTAAGGTTTTGAAATCCAGTGTATTCTTTAGACTGATGACAGCACATGGTAATTTGGAGCATCCATATTTCAGGGGCTCGATGGTCACATGTGGCTCCCGAGAATGCTCCCACCCTGATCCCCCAGTAGATACTGGCGGCCAAATACACAGGAGTCAGGTGGCACGGTGACACACCAGGGAAGGCTTAGCTACTCTAAATTTAATCTGTCAGCATTATCCTTCTTGCTAATCAGATACCCTCTCCTATTAGATACCACCCCACACAGAAAGAAGCTCACACAAACTGGCCCAGGTTGTAAGTGGCCACTTCTCATTATGGGCTTGGCAGGCCAGGGAGTGACCTATGCTAATCCAGCCATCGGCCAATTGTCAGGTGTGGGGACAGAGTGGCTTAGCCAGTGTATGCCCCAAGCGGCCACACTGCTCTGTGCCTAGAAGGACCTTACACTTGAAATTCTTAATAATGTCTGAACAAGGAGTTCTGTATTTTCACTTTGCACTGGACCCTGCAAATTGTGCACCATTTTTTGGAGGCAGCCCCCTAGCAGACTCCACAGGTAGCCTTCCTCCCAGCTTTGCTACCAAGTAGTTTATAATATGAATGCAACTCTTGGGCCAAACTCTGCTAAACAAATGACCTTTATTAGCAAGCTGACAAGAAAAAGCAAACAGGTAGCATTTCTCCATAGGCTCTGTGCTCCATAGGCCTCTGACAAGCACCTCACAGGAAAGGTGCAGCCAGAGCAGGGGGCTGTGGCAATCTGATGGCAGAGCCAGGCTGCCATGGGCAGGTCACACTGAAGCTCTATGGAGTGTGCAGACACAGGCCTGACTGGCACTGGCCTTAAGATCTGTTCCAAAGTCGTATGGGAGTAGAAAAGGCTTGGATGCCTTTCTAACCAACTACAGATCTGGAACGACATCCATCTTACTAGCAAAAAAATTATAAGCAGCATCACTATGCCTAGAACTACCCTCTGGTGCGCACTTCAACAGCACCTGAGATTCACAGTACTTCCGGAATGTGCACTCACAATGGACAACCCAGCCTCTCTGAACTTGAGCTTCCTCTTCTTTCACACAGGCAGAGCACACTGTTCGCAGAGTAGGACATCTGATGCAAATGGTTGCTCTGATTGGTGTAGAATCACAGGCAACTGTCTCCAGGTACAGCGCACACGTTATTAAAACCCAGCTTCCACCCAAGGCAGAATAGAGGGACATTCAGAACAGTTTTGTAGCATGAAGTAATTTATCTTTAAGGCAGAGGAGCGGTCTTGCAGAACCATTCCTCTATTAACTATAATATTCCAATAAACCTGAAAATCTCACTTCCTAACAGACTTCCAGAGGCAAAGAAAAGTTTCATCCCAGCAACTGATTCTCATGAAATCTAGAACTCATAAATATGGAGAAGTGATAATATGAGTTCCAAATAGTAACATAATCACCATCTAGATTCACCAAAACACCTGTGGCATCCCAAACTTTCAGATCTTTAGTAATAAAGCAGTGAAATCTTCCATGTTGCAGTTTTAGAAACTGTAATTTCTTTCTTTCTTTCTTTTTTTTTTTTTGCAGTTTTTGGCTAGGGCTAAATTTGAACCCACCACCTCCGGCATATGGGGCTGGTGCCCTACTCCTTTGAGCCACAGGCACCACCCAAGAAACTTAATTTATTTTTTTTTTTCACAAGAAACCTGTCCTGGACAAACCTGGCTGATCTAGAACAAATTTTCAGAGTGCCAGGACTTAGCACAGCAAGAAAGGCCTCCGAGTCCACTACGAGCATGGGCAACCAGCCACACCGCCTTGGCCTTTAGCTCTTGACTAACGGGACCAGAAGAACAACTGCCCTTCTGACTTTGCAATATAGTCATATATTATGCTACAGTCAATGTGGGGGATATGCTGTATAGGAAGGTCGCTGTTTTACATTCCTGTTTTACATTCATCTCGGCCAGGGGTTCTCAAGGTATGGTCAGTTTGAAGTCCCTTGGGGGTGTCTAAGATTCTTTTAGGGGTCCATGAGGTCTCCCTTTTCCAACTCCAGATCTGGGCACAGCCTACTTTCTCTTTGAATATTTCAAATAACAACCACAACAGACTGAACGAAGCAAACAGGATATTCCAGAGGATTCTATGTGTATCAAATCAGACATTAGATTTTGTTAATGTAAAAACTATGTCACTCTTTTCACTACATTTTTTATTTTGGAAAATAGTCATTTTCCATAATATTTTAGATGTATGAGTTTATTATAGTTATTTTAAAGTAAATACGTAAGTATTTTTTACACTTTCTCAGTTTTAATTACTAATATGGTCAATACAAGAGAAATTACTCATGTAAACAAAAGCTCTTTGGGTTACATGATAATTTTCAAAGTGAAAATGAGCCTGACGTCAAGAGTTTGGGAACCATTGTTCTAGGCGAACACTATAACCCACCCATGTTCCCCAGCACACCCAGAGCAAGGAGGGGAAGGCACACTATGTGGGCAGGCATGGACCAGTGAGGTTAAAAGCATCCGCTGGACAATCCACATTCATGTAGCCCAGCGCTGAGCATGGCGGCCTCCAATCCCAACTTGGAAGACTAAGCTACATGGCGAAGGCAGGAAGTGTATGTAATAAGGGTCACACGTGACGTGCACCCGCAGCGGAGAACCTGGGCCTTGGGCAGTGCGCTGCTGAGAACACCTTCAGCCCCTCGCACGGTGCTGCCCACTCAAAGCACATTAACTACGAGCCCAACACTGCTTACTGTCTGTTGTACTTGTTCAAAGTTTGGAAAAAGATTCTAGACTGAGTCTTGGACTCAACCAGCCAGGCTAGAGCAGACTTTACCCACCCCAGGAGAGGCACTCAGGCTCTGCAAGATGGCAGTTGGGAAAAATATCTCCTTTCTACCAACCTAGAGGGAAACTGGGTAGAAACCATGGAATCCTTCCTACCTTGGGATATGAACACTGATCCTTTAAACTGTATTTTACAGAAATGCAGGGCCTTCAGATTTTTCTCTAAGGTAGAGTCTACCTTTATACACAAAGTGAGAATGGGACTGTCAAGTGGAGAGTCAAACACAAGCGCAAAGAACCCCTTTAATTCACATAAAAAAGACACACGGCAATGCTGCATCTGCGTGTTTAAATGGAGAGACGTGCTACGTCTCTCCTGTGAGGCGCCCACAGTTCCAAACGCCAGAGAGCTTAACCTTCTTTCAATGCTGCACAAAGTAAGTGTTGTGAAAGAATTTCACTCCACTTAGGGATGTTTCTCAGGACGATTTTTTTCCTTCTTCATTCCATGAAGGTGAAGAGCTTTCATCCTACAGTTCTTTTTTTTTTAATTCAGACAGAGTCTCACTTTGTTGCCCTCTGTAGAGTGCTATAAC